AAAGCATTTTTAGTTAACGTACGTACTTTTTTTATATATATAATGCTATTGAGTACTTAATAGGCTACAGTATAAACACAGCTTTTATATGCACTGGGAAATCAAAAACTTCATGTGACTTACTTTACAACACTATTTGCTTTATTGCAGTGGTCTGGAACCAAATCCACAGTATCTCCAAGGTATGCCTGTAGAACGGTCAAGATGTGGTGAATCAGATACACGACAGAGGAGTTAAGGATGAAACCCCAGTTCTTGCTCAGGCAAATGGCTGTTATGAACTGAACTGTCTCTCTCCCAAAACTCACTGTTCAAGTCCTAACCCCCAATGTGACTGTATTTAGTGACAGGGCCTTTAAAGAGGCAATTCAGGTTAAATGAGGTCCTAAGGGTGGGGCCCTAATCCAATAGGACCAATGTCCTTATAAGCCGAAGAGACACCAGACGGATGTGTGCAGAGTGAAGAGGCCTGGCCTGGTGCAGTGGCTCATGCCTATAATCCCAGCACTTTGGGAGGCCAAGGCAGGCAGATTGCTTGAGCTCAGGAGTTCCAAACCAGCCTGGGCAACATGGTGAAACCCCATCTCTACCAAAAATACAAAAAATTAGCCAGGCATGATGGCAAGCACCTGTAGTCCCAGCTACTTGAGAGGCTGAGCTGGAAGGAATCGCTTGAGCCCAGGAGGTTGAGGGGGCAGTGAGCTGTCATTGTGCCACTGCACTCCAGCCTGGGTGACAGAGCAAGACCCCATCTCACAAAAAAAAAAAAAAAAAAAAAAAGAGAGAGAGAGAGAAAAGGCCATGTGAGGACACAGCAAGACAGCCATCTGCAAGCCAAGGAGAGAGGCCTCAGGAGAAATCAAACCTCCTGACACTGTGATCTTAGACTTCAAGCCTCTAGAACTGTGAGAAAAGAAATTTCTGTTGCGTTGGCCTAGTCTGTGGCATCTTGTTATGGTAGACTTAGCAAACTAATATACTTGGTGAATGGTGGGCACTGATTACTGACTCACAGGAGTGGACCTGGGAGATAGCAAGCAGAAATGTCCAGGTGGCTGCTGACTATTCATGTTGGCAGAATAAGCCAGCGGTAGAGATTTGGGCATTTTAAATGAAAGTGAAACCATGGCAGTGAATCATATAACTTCTGGAGATGTATAAAAGTAAAATGAGAAGGTCACAACGGAACCGTAGAAACACCTCTGACTCCAAAGGAAGAGATGCCCCTGAAGAAATTTTAAAAGAGGCCAAGGAAGACAGGAAAATCCGGAGAGACTGGAGCCATGAAAACTAAGAGAACACTTAAAGAAGTGGGCCCAACAGTGCCAAGTGTAACACAAAGATCAAGCCAGATAAAAACTAAGGATAGCAAGTTGGAGATTAATGGTCCCCTTGACAAGAAAATGATCAGCAGCTGGGTAGCAGTAGACGTCACATGTCAGTGAAGGAGAAGAGAGGGACAGAAAGGGTAGACAATTCTCAAGAAGCATGGTCATTAAAGATGAAAAAGGCAGTGGCTGGAAAGGGACATGAGGTTCAGGGAGGGTCCCTTTAAGTGTGAAATTATTCATCACCTACATCCATTAGAGGAGAGGCTAAAGACACATAAGTGAAAACTTTGGGGAGAAAAGGCAGACTTTAGGGAGAAAAGAGTAGACTGAAAAACAGAAAATGAAATAGCACAGGGGAATGACTGATACTCACACAGAAGGAGAGACGTCTTTTTCTCCCCAAGGAGGTAAGGACAGATGCAGATGAGTCTGTAGGTGGAAGATGACAAACTGAGGGTTTCTGCTTTCACCAGGAAGAAAGGATAGTCATCCAGTGAACATGAGAGGGTATGATAAGGCAAACTATTTTAAGAAAATAGTAAAACTTTTTAAATGTTTTTGTTACGTTTTGGTTTTTTTTTCAGCAAGTCAAACCAGAGAAAATGAAGAAACTTTTAACAGTGACAGCTGACTCGAGACAGATGGCCCTACAGCTGAGGACCCAGGTCAGGTTAGATGATGAATGTGTAGCGGCACCACTCCGCAGCTGTGAAACTTCTCCAGAAGTTGTTCGAGGAGGAAAGAGAAGTCATTAGAGCAGCCCACAGCGGTGTCTGCTGAGGAAAAGTCGCAGACCAATGCAAGGATGGCATAAACAACCCCAAGAAGAGCTGGGCTGCCGCCTGTCTCTGCATTCCCATCACTTCTTTCCTTGTTGGTTTCATCCTTAACCACGAAGAGCAGTTCTCACCCTTAACACTGACTCAACACTTCCTTTTGATAATAAACACTTGCTTAGCATCTACCTTTACTGCCTGACAAGTCACAGACAATCTACTTAACAGACATAAGTTTAAAAGACCCACTGAATGCTCTAAGGGTAAGATAAGCTAGATATAAAATGAAATTTACAATAAAATATGCATTTCCATCTGCATATCCCAAGCATAACTGCAAGAAACATGGAATGAAGCAGTGAGATGCTCCTGGCTATGTGCAGAATCCAGGAAGAAACAGGTACAATCACAGACTACCCAAGCCATGCTAGACTTGAAACTCAGATACCACGGGTAGTGTGATAGGTCCTTCGGGACCACCAAAAGTCAACCAATTGCCACATTTTTTAAAAAGTGAAGTCTCAGTCTGCCAGAAAAACAACTTCAGTACACAAACCAAAACACTTTGGTTTCAGGCAACCCAGCACCTCAGAGGTGGAGAAAACAACAAACATGTACACATATCACCAGCAGTTTATCACTTGAGCTTGTTTGTCGCCACCCCATTTCCTGTGACTGAAGTGGGGAGAAGAGAATCTTACTATCAATGATGACCATCTTGGATTAGGACCACAGGAACGGGCTGTCCTGGGGGCTTTGACCACCTCCCTAATGTTACCCAAATAGGAACCATAACGCCTCTCATCTGAACAGAAAGAGCAAAAAGGGTTTGAGGAGGCAGAAAGCTCAAAGGTAAAGAATGTGGCTCAAGCAAGCCCACAGGCACTGCCATCGAGGTAATTCTCTTTAATACTGTGGTGTCTCCTTCCCTAAGATGTCTCACTGTTGATGAGGACATCTCTTTGGAATGTTCTAGTTATGTATAAAACACTTCTGCACATTTTAGACCTGAGCCCAGCTGCCAGGATGCCAGACAGGAAACTGCAGAGCTTGAAGGCCAAGCCTCCCACCAGAGTCCCAGCGGAGCAATGAACATCTGGCTGGGCCACTATTCCCACAATTTCTGGAGGTCTCTATCCTATACTCTCTGCTTCCTTATTAAGTGGCTGGGTAGGTTTGGCAAGTAGTAATGAGGTGTGTGAAAAGCGAGATGGCTGCAGGGACTGGACCCTGGCACGTCAGGTTCCAAGTTGGGGCTCTATCTGCAGCAAGAGTGCCCCCACTACAACCTCCATCACTGCCTTCACCACCTCCAAAGGGGGCCGAGTCCTAGATGTTGGCTTCGGCATGGCCACAAGAACATGGAAGGTGCAGGAGGTCTCCATCCAGGAACACTGGATCATGGAGTACAATGACAGCATCTTCCAGTGGCTCCAAGACTGGGCCCAGCAGCAGACACACAAGGTCATCCCCTTGAAAGTCCTGTGGAAGGAGGTGGCACTCACCCTGCCAGGTGGTCGCTTTGATGGGATCCTGTATGACGTGTACCCACTGTAGAAGGAGACCTGGCACACACACCAGTTCAACTTCATCGAGAACCACACTTTTCACCTGCTGAAGCTGAAAGGGGTATTGTCCTCACCTACTGCTACCTCACCTCCTAGGGGCAGCTAATGAAGTCCAAGTACTCAGATGTCACCACCATCCGAGAAGCAGGTGCCTGTGCTATTGGAGGCAGACTTCCGGGGGAAGAACATTCTCAGGGCAGTGATGGCATTGGTCCTGCATATGATTATGTTGTCCCTGGTCACCAAGCCTTCAGACCACCCAGACCTGGCCAAACAACCCTCTGCCACCCCTCCTTAATGGCTGGGAGCCCCAGCTCTGGCCTGTCACAGCTCCATGACTGATCCTGGCTGTGTCACTGTGCAGCTTTTCTGGCCTCTACAATGGGAACACTGCTGCTTCCCTGCCAGGGTCCTTGAGAGCAAAATCAACACTAACACTGGTCTTGCCCCTCCCTCCGTCAAAATAAGGGCAAGATGAACTCTCAGAGGAACAGCAGCAGGTAGAGGGGTAGCAAGGGTCAAGTGTGGATAGCAGACTGTAGATGAGAATGTAACAGAGCAGATGACAGGATGTGCAAGTCACGAGATCTAAGAGTTCTCATTTTGCCACTTAGCACCGGGACACTTCAAATCTTTGGGACTGTCTTCTCATATGCAAAGCGAGGATGGTTGCCCTTACCCACCTTAGAAGACTGTTTGGGTGGAAGTGACTGAATGACTTATTGTATGCAAACACACTTTGTAAAGCACTTTAGAGACAAGTTACTATTGTTGCCATCATTATTTTTAAGGAAGCTGAATCATGGAGAGGACCCTTAGGGCCTTGGGGCAATCAAATAAGGAATGGCCACAGACTTCATACAAGTCAAACCATGTCTCCTAGTCTACCTGCCAGTGGGAAAAACAAGGATCAAAGAAAACTTGCTGAGAGTGACTGTGCCTGTTTGAAGCCTAGAAAGAATAGCTGGGAAAACCTGTAAGGTTGAAAGGTGTTTCGCTTCTCTTAGGGTTTTTATCTTTCTCTTAGGGTTTTTATCTGTAGCAGAGACGGGATCTCACTATGTTGTGTGGGCTGGCCACAAATTCTCGGGCTCAAACGATCCTCCCACCTCAGCCTCCCAAAGTGCTGGGATTACAGGCATGAGTCACTGCGCCCAGCGCTCTTAGGCTTTTTAGGAAATATACTTTCCCCAAAATTTTCCTAAGATTTGTTCCACCTAGATATCACCCAAAAGGATTTGGTGGTGAAATCGTTATGGGTACAGGCTTCCTCACCAAGGAATGCTTGGACACCTGAGTAATGAATTTCCAATGAGGACATGGGATGCAGGAAGTGCCACATTTATTTCATAACAGAACCCCTTTTCCACAGAGTATCTGACAGGGGGTTTCATGAAACATATTTTGGAAATTAAAGTGAACTCTCCACTTGGGCATGTTATATGGGCACATGGATTGGCTTAAAAAGGAAACAAGAATACTTCAACATTTGATCAACAGTAGGCAGTTGCTGGGCATTTTAGAAAAAGGAGAAATCCATTGTTTGACCATGGCTAAACATGGGGAAACAGTATCACATTTTCCTGAACCACCCTAATCCCAGCCCTTCAAGATCTTATGCACCCCAAACCCCAGTCACATACATTAAATCTACACTTTATTTTTTTGTTGTAAAATGTGCTTTTTCCTCAATGAACTTTAATATCAGTCCAGGATCTCCACCTCCCCTTACACACACACACACACACACACACACACACACGCACGCACGCACGTGCCACCCTCCAACCATGTGAAAAATCCCCGGCGATTAGTCTATAACAAATATTGACACGAGGAGGGACAAAACCATGTTGAAATGTATTAGAATCAGAACCTGTACAAAAAAAAAATTAAAATATAACCTGAAACTGTTCAAGTTCAGAAGTCTAGTTAAGTCCTTTTCTCTTGCCAGGAGAATGCCATCATCAGAGGGCTCTGGGTCATCAGCCAAGGAGGGGTGAAAAGACAGAAGCAGCAACAGGTCCTTCAGCAGACAGAGGGGCATCGGTGCCACCATCCCTACCCAGGTGAAGCCAGGAGGAGTTAAAGATCTCAGGAGAGCAAGCATTAGCCGGCAGTTCCAGTGGGCAGCTGGGGCCCACACACTGAAAACAAGGCTGAGTAGTCAGAGGCAGCAGGAGGAGCGGCCAGAAGAGAACGCCACGCTGGAAGGAACCATTTCTGCCACCCAGCAGACCCACAGCACCCTCTGTCTGTGCTCAGATACCAGAGGTTAGTCAACCCAGCGCTCCCAACTAATTGGAGATCGGAGCTGGGCTTAAGAGGCTGAAAACCCGTGGGTTTAGTAAACATAGCCCAGCATCACGTCCCTCCACGGCCTGAACTGGAGCTGCCAACAAGGGATGAGGCAGGAGAGGGAAAGCAGCGCATCTTGACGCCTGGCTAGAGATCGCTGCACCATCATGAGGACTGTGGTACGAGGGGCTGGAGAAGAGCGCCCCCTCCTCACAAGGGGAGGGGCCTCCTTCACAATCATCCCTGGGGGCTGGTTAAAGCTGCCTCGGGCTTATAACCAGCCTGACAAAATGACATGGAGCAAAAGAAAAACTGGGAGGGACACAAGCCCTTACACAGAGACAAGAACCTCCTGGAGGGAAGCTGGGCAGTGTCTGACCCTGTTGGGATGGCATCGGTGGAGCCCCTGAGTCTGAAGGGAACAACTGGGGAAGGAGGGAGTGGGTGAGGGGGAGTTAACAGTTTTTCTGGAACAGTACCAACAGGGTGGGGAGGCGCTGGTGAGGGGACGGGCAGGTCTGGAACTCACTGTAGGTAGAGAGGGGAGGAAATGGGCCCTTGGTGTCCCCTCCCCACCTGACCCAGGCCTGGTGAGTGCCAGCTGCCCCAGCCGGCCCTAGTGGCGGCTGGAGACCAGACCTTTCACTTTGGACATCTTCTTGGTGGGCTGCCTCTGCTCAGCGTGAGGCGGACACTCCCGTTCAGCCAGCTGCTGCTCCATCTCCTGAGCCGAGGAGGATGCGGTGGCTTTGAGTGTTTTCTTGATGTTGGTAACCTGGTGGGGAGACAGAGAATTGGAGTGCTCAGCCTGTATGTGCTCACCAAAACTTGTTCTCACTATGTCTTCACTTCAGACAGGAAGCTAAAATCCTCTACAAGAAAACCTGAAATTCTCTTCAGAAATCCAGATGAGGAGAAACAAGCCTGGGCTACTCACAGCAGATCTGTGGAAATGAATCAAGCAAAAAAGTGGGACTAATGCTCTCCTGGTTGAAACAAATGGAAGGGGACCATTTAGCAAAGAGGCACAATACCAACAGTGAAACAAAGTCATGATTAAAACGTCCTCAGAAAAAGAAAGAGAGACCCAAGAATTCTGCACTCCGCTGTTATTCATGTATAAAACCACAAATAGTTTCATAAAAACTTTGGGAATACAGCTCCATGAACCCTTCTTGAATAAACCAGTAAAGGATGAACTTCAGCCAACTAAGCGAGAAATGAAGAAAATGTAATAAAAGTACTAGCAAAATGCTATGACACTACTGTGTGCAGTACACGTTTCTTTCACTTAACGAAGTACAGACTGGAAATACTTAAGCAGCTCTTGAACATTTTTCCACGTCAGAACAGATATCCTCTGTGACATGTGAATCCTATTCTACTGGGAGGGTTCTCCGGTTTTTTGAATTGGTTCCTAGTTTGGGTTTCAGTGCTACTCTGAAAAGTCCTCTATGTTTACGTTTGCATACTTCTGTGAACATCTATGGAAGATACTCCTAGAAGTGAGCTTTCCAGATCAAAGGGGATTTACATTTTACATTTGAATCAGTACTGCTATATTGCCTGCTGAAAGGTGACTGCTCCAAACCTTTGCTCCTCAGTTCGTTGAGAGGAAGAAACAGCAGGAAGAAGATGGTGGTGGTAGGGAAGAACTGTGCAGTCAAATAAGTAATAGCTTTTTTAGTATTTTTTTTTTTTTTTTTTTTGGAGACAGAGTCTTACACCGTTGTTCAGGATGGAGTATGGTGGCGCAATCACAGCTCACTGTAGCCTCAACTGCCCTGCTTAAGTGATCCTCCCACCTCAGCCTCCTGAGCAGCTTGGACCACAGGTGCTTGCCACCATGCCTGGCTAATTTTTTAAAAATTATTTGTAGAGACAAGGTTTCACCATGTTGTCCAGGCTGTTCTCGAACTCCCAGGGTCAACTGACCCTCCTACCTCAGCCTCCCAAAGTGCTGGGATTACAGGCATGAGCCACCACACCCAGCCAGTTTTCCACACAGTGGAAAGGAGCTGTCAGGGTCAAAAGTTCTGAACAGTCAGAATATCTCATGAGCTTGAGAGTAAGAGACAGCCCAAATGCAAAGACAAAACAATGCTATGAGAGTGAGACAAAAATTGGGTTCCCGGAGGAGAGCCATCATCTGCAGAATCCACCTTAACTAGATCATAAATTATTTTCTGTTGTCACTATTTTGAGACGGGGGGAAGAGCCATGCCCCAAACTTCTGTAACCTCAATCAACACTGTAGCCTTTCTGAAGAGAGAGTGACAGAGGACTGTGGGCTGGAACAGTCATTACAGAGGGCAGGCTGGGCATGGTGGCTCACACCTATACTCCTAGCACTTTGGGAGGCTGAGCAAAGAGGATTGCTCAAGAGCAGGTGTTCAAGACCAGCCTGGGCAACAATAGTGGGACCCTAAAAAAAAATATATATATATATACACACACACACACATATACACACACACATATATAATTAGCCAGGTATGGTGGCATGCACCTGTAGTCCCAGCTACTCAAGTGGCTGAGGCGGGAGGATCGCTTAAGCCCAGGAGGTAGAGGCCACAGTGAGCCATGTCTGCACCACTGCACTCCAGCCTAGGTGACATTCAAGTGAGACCTTATCTCAACAACAACAAAAAGAAATTAAAGACAAAAACAATTAGCCTGGTGTGGTGGCACACGCTTATAGTCCTAACTATTCAGCAGGCTGAGGCAGGAGGCTCACTTACATCCAGGAGTTTGAGGCTGCAGTGAGCTATGATTACACCACTGTACTCCAGCCTGGGTGACACAGCAAGACCCAGTGCCTAGAAATAAATATATATATAAAATAAACAGAGAGGGGAGTCATCTCTGGGTTTATCCAGTGTCCTGCCAGACAAGAAAACACCATCTAGGAACCCAGAATCTGAGGCATCTCGCCCTCCCAGTGGCTCACTGCTGCTTTGGTGTATCTTATTCAGTGAGTCACCTGGCAAGGTGGTGAGTGAATGATCTGGAGCAAGTCAATGGCTTATCTCTTTCTCTGATAAAAGAGATATTATTTGTTTTACTTTAAGGCATTTTTTTAAATAGAAATGGGATCTTGCTATGTTGCCCAGGCCGGCCTCAAACTTCTGGGCTCAACCAATTTGCCTGCCTCAGCCTCCTAAGTAGCTGGGACTACAGACACATAATATACTGTCATCCCAGCTAAGGCATATTTTGATGACATTGAAGGAAAAATTAAGAAATCTGATTTATCAGGGAACACTGCTTTATAAAATAACATTCTAAGGCTTCTTCAATTTGATATATTTTCAAAATATCCAGAAGATTATACGAGGTTAAAAAGGGCGTGACTTTATTTATTTGCATGTCAGTTACCTGTGCCTTCCAAAGAAGATCCTGCAATTTAACATTACTGAGGGAATGTGTTTTAAGGTTTCCCCAAAAGCTGACAAAATTTTAATCAAGTAAGACATTAGAAAACTAACAAGTTTTTGTTTCAAGGACTGTATTTCCAAAACGGTATCTTTCCAAGCAAATAATTACCTTTCCCATTTGGCAAAATAGCTTTATTAGAAATTAAAAAACAAAACCAAAAAAAATTCCTAATTTCATCTTGGCTGCTAAACACTATTTAGCCTTATTTCCTCAAGTTATTTGTATAATAATTTTTACTAAACAATCAGCTTATACTACAAATAGTTTTCTACATTATTTAACATGTCTTAGATTTACTGACAGTCTCATAACCCCTGCATGAGTAAGGAAAAGACATTAATCCCCAAATAATGGTTATATTTTCAATCTGCTTCACCTGTGTTTTTGTAGCATAAAGTCATTACTGGTCTATCAGAAAGTAACACCGGCATTTATTTCTCTCTTTAGAGTGGCCCAAGGTGATCTGGGCTAGGTTTGGACTCAGAGTATCTATGGCTGGGCTGAGTGATGAGTCCCTGACTTGCCAGCCAAGGAGCAAACTCTGCCTGTGGCACATTCACCAAAGGCAATGCTCTGCTGCCAGCCTCTCAGCAACTGACTAGTTCAACCGACCCCCAAAGGCTTTGCTGTTTTACTCTTTTTCTTTTCAAAGCTCAACACTTCCAATGCTTCTCCTTCACAAAGCCACGAACTCACCATTCTCACTCTGGTCCCGAGGGAGCCTGCGCATCACCCTTCTGCAGTCACAGAAGAGTAAGCCTTCTTCATTTCTGTACTGCCACTCCTTACCATAAGGCAGCCTCCCTCTCTCATGGTGACTCAATTCTGTTTAAAAGCCTTTGAGATTCAAGATCCTGTCAAAAGCTTTTGAGCAAATAAGTAGACAGAAGCATGGACGCTTTCCCCTGTCATTCAGATGCCTATTTACTTCCTCAAGCAATTTTCTCCTGTACAAACTGCTCTCTCATTCAGCTTTTTTGGGTGTCAGTAACCCTGATATGCAATAAAAAGAAATAAGACTTGGCTCAGGGAAAAACTCGGTTTTTTCTCCAATTCTGAAATACCAAGATCAGGTACCTTCCTTCCCACTCCTCAACACATGCCCCGCACTCAAGCCATCTCAGCCACACTCGTCCCCCACACCACACTTGGAAGCAATCATTCCCCCTATGCCCTTCTGGTTTTCATGCACCCTGTGGGGGGGGGGGGGGTTCTGCTCCTCCCCAGGTCGCCCCTCTGATCCTGCCTGGAGAGTTGTTGAACACCAGGTCCATACAACCTGCCCTGACTGCTGCAGCCCACACTGATCTGCCACCCTTCAACCTGTACTTGCCTGGCAGTGCCTCTCACTCTTCGATGGCCTCCCACACCACTGCATCTCCTTCGTGTTTCAGATGCATACACCTCATTCCTCCAATAAGACTGCTGACAAATCTAAGTCCTCTACAGTTGTTACCACTTTGAGGCAAAATGTAAACATCCTGCAGAGGAAAGGAGGGCTTCTTGGGCAAGTCTCTAAGCCTAGGAAATGAGCCCTTTATCCTCCACAAAGGCCCGGCCTGGGCCGGGGCAGGGCCATAGCCCTCACACTGGGATCCATTACAGAGACACTTTGCTCAAGTCAGCTTTACCGCTGCATTTATAACACACAACTCACAAATGAGACTTCTGAAGCACTGACAGACTCTCCTAGCGAAAGGGGATCTTAAAAGTCAACTAGCTTCGGGCTGGGCGCGGTGGCTCACGCCTGTAATCCCAGCACTTTGGGAGATGGGCGGATCACGAGGTCAGGAGATCGAGACCATCCTGGCTAACACGGTGAAACCCCGTCTCTACTAAAAATACAAAAAATTAGCCGGGTGCAGTGGCGGGCACCTGTAGTCCCAGCTACACGGGAGGCTGAGGCAGGAGAATGGTGTGAACCTGGGAGGCGGAGCTTGCAGTGAGCCGAGATTGCGCCACTGCACTCCAGCCTGGGCAACAGAGCGAGACTCTGTATCAAACACAAAAAAAAAACAAAAAAAAAAGTCAACTAGTTTCTTCCAGTAGCTGGGCAGTTGTAAGCGCAGACAGCTCCTTCTAGGACTCCAAATTGGCCACTCTGGTAGGTCAACCAATTAAACGCATGTTGGCCTTGTGGACTTTCTTAAGAATTCCAATTCCTCTTCCACAGAGCCACCCTTCAACTGACAACAAATATCATCCCCACAGACTTGTCTTCTTTTACCTAAATTTGGTAGAGTCCTTAATGACTTTCTTCCTCCAGTGGCCTGGCTTACAGGCTCCTCAAAACATGAACCTCAGAAATTTTCAAGTAGGATTGCACTGCTAGCAAAAATGCAGCCTAGTTCCATCAGAGACCTTAAATATTTAGGCAAAAGGAGAAAGAGCTTCCTGGAACAGGAAACCTTCCTTCAGTTGAGGCGCAAAGAAAGGCAGATGAGAGGAAATGCAGTGCACAGTTGGAAAAGTGCTACAAAGAAAAAGAGAACTGGGTGATGGAGAGAGCACCCCTCTCCAAGAGGCACCAGGAAGCATACTTTTGGTGCACTGTATAAACCTCAAGATTGTCACTAACTCCTAGGGGATTTTCTACATAATGGAAAACAGAGCTTACTTTGTCCAGTTACACTTTACAACCTCCATGACTGGAATATAGCCTACTTTGTAAATGTAGCAATAGTTATAAATTAACATTCCATATAACATCAGACATAGGCACATCCAAATATAAAGAAAAATGAGGCCGGGTGCAGTGGTTCAGGCCTGTAATCCCAGCCCTTTGGGAAGCCAAGGCAGGCAGATCACTTGAAGTCAGGAAGTTAAGAACAACCTGGCCAACATGGCGAAACCCTGTCTCTACTAAAAATACAAAAATTAGCTGGGCGTGGTGGCAGGTGCCTGTAATCCCAGCTACTCAGGAGGCTGAGGTACGAGAATTGCCTGAACCCAGGAGATGGAGGTTGCAGTAGTGAGCCAAGATCACGCCACTGCACTCCACCCTAGGCAACAGAGTGAAACTCCATCTCAAAAAAAAAAAAAAAAGAAAAGTGGGTTTGGCATGGTGGCTCACGCCTGTAATCCCAACAAAGAGGGAGCCAGAGGTCGGAGGATAGTTTGAGGTGAGGCATTCAAGACCAGCCTGAACAACACAGCAAAACCCAGTTCTCCATAAAAAAAAAAAGAAAAGAAAAGAAAAGAAAAGAAAAATATCAGCCAGGTGTGGTAGCATACACTGGTAGTCCTAGCAACTTGGGAGGCTGAGGTGGAAAGGCTGCTTGAGCCCAGGAGGTTGAGGGTGCGGCGAGCTGTGTGTGCACCACTGCACTCCAAGCACTCCAGCCTGGGTGATAGACTGAGACCGTCTCTCAAAAAGAAAATACTTTCCAAAATCAAATTTAAATGTGGAAGTGCTTTGTAATGCTCTAAGTATTACCTCCCCACCACAGTGCTTTCTCAGAAATAATGAAACAGCTCATAATGGTCCCCCAGGTATGCTGGAACTAGAACTAACATGGGTTTCCACAAAAGCCTAAACGGAGAGAATATTCTTCCACAGTCTGCGATAGGGCTGACTTCAGTAAGGAGGGCTCTTAAAACTACAACTCACCAGAAGAAAGCTGTTGTTATAAGATTCAGGAGGGGGACTTCACGTTTTTCCCTCTGAAAACAAGCAATCTAATTTAAGGACAAATAAAGAAAAGATCACCAATCAGTTGACAAAATCGGCTTTTAAAAGTTAGGCCAAGGGTAACAGAAGCATAAATACAAACAGAATACGACAGAATCACCCTGGTGCTTCGTAGACTTCTTTTCCTTTCAAGTCTCAAGTAGGTGGCAAGCAGCCTCCACCACTTAGCAGCAAGATCATGCATTTGCTAAATGGGAAAAATGACAAGGCCCTAAAAGCTTTGGCCATGCTCAGGGAACAGACCATACTGGTCTGGTTCAGATTTTCTAAAAGATATTACGTCAATAGACTGTTTTAATTGGTGGTGGAGGTGGCCTTGGCCTTGGCCTTTTCCTCAGATTTCTTTTTCTCAAACTTAAATCCTTACCGCCACCTGCTGGCAGCACCAGGCTCTGCTAGTGCACACACCCATCCTCTGTTTAAATAACCAAAATTTAAAGAGTCTACACTGTTGTGTAACTACACGGTGTGCCTCAAACTTTAGCCAAGTGTCTACAATAGCTCTGTGCACACCTACCTTTCTTTTGTTGGATGCTATTTATCATGAAAATAAACTTGAACAGTTCACATTCTAAAACTAGTATCATTCACCTTTGTTGATGACCTTAATACCAAAGATTCGGTAGTGTGGTTAGCCTCCCAACCTCACTTTGTACAGAGTTTGATTTATAGGGAAGAATAAACAGAAAGGAGAGAGTGGTCAGCCCTTCCTACTTTGTTCAGACCTCAATCCCAAGAGAAAAGGCCACCATCATCAAGAGAGTGGTTGCACAGCTTATTAGAAAAACAGTAGGCTGATTTTCCTAATTGTCTTTGCTTTGGGCTGTTAAATGTAGTTCATACTTCCTTGCCCAGGCTGGTCTTGAACTCCTGGACTCAAGCAATCCTTCCTCTTCAGTCTCTCAAAGTGTTGGGATTACAGGTGTGAGTTACTACACCCAGCCTCATACTTCCTTGGCTAGTAGGATTAAACATGGTCTATGAATTGAATATCCACAGAGTATACGTATATAGGGTGGTGTGTGTGTGTATTCAAAAAAATTAGCTCAAGTTCATGAAAAGCAGAGTTCAGCAGTCCACTGACACACTTTCATGGTGTGCCAGAAATAGTCAGTTGAACATCTGAGTACCTACTATGGGTTAGGCATGGGACCAGAAGCTCGCCTTACAAATAGGATACAGGTTTTATTTTCAAGAAGTGCATATAACAGTACAGGGAATCACTCCAAATTTCACAAATCCCCCTTTGAAAGGCACATCTACTCATCTCTTATGCTTCTTAGCTGCAATTCTGGGTCCCACTCTGCCACACTCTTAGACACCTGATTTTCAAAATTCATTAAGCATCATTAATACTTCAAACCCCATCCACCCTAGAAAAGAACTTCCAATGCTACGGAAAATCAGTGCTTCTGATCTTCAGGGCTCCAAATAAATTCTGAAGTGAGGTCACTTCATGTGTCAGGTTACACGTACACAAATGCCCATAACGCAAAGACTGGGGCCTACATCTGTCCAAGAAGCTAAAAGTTTCCTCAACAGCCAGGTGTCATAAAACCACACTTACATCCCTTTTAACTTCACTTGCAGCTCATCTGCCAAATTTTATCCCTTTCTTCTTTCCATATGAAATATGTCACACATTTTACACATTTATAATATATATGTACAGTTCAGACAAAAAGAATAAAATGAAACTAGGTGCCCACCACGCAACTTAAGCAGCAGAACATTCCCAGGGCCTTGAAGCCCCACATGCCCCTGCCCAGCTGTACCCCTCCCTCCACTCCACCTGGTAACTTATCACCATCCTTCTATCCATTTTTAAGATCCATTCCCAAACTCATTTTCTTTTGCTCTACAGCTGCAAAGTACATGTGTACTGAAACTACAACATTCTCTGTTCTCAAAGCCTGATGGATCACCCTATGCTGACCAGGAATCGGAAAAAACAGAGAACACCAAGAGTAGGAGCCGTGTCACACTCATCCCTGTACCCTAGCACCTAACCCAGGCCCATTTGTTGGTGACTGCTCATTTCATCTACACCAAGATTCGCAAAACAAAAACATAAACACTGCAAAAGAATAAACAGGTATGCCCTGGAGAGAGAAACAAACGTTCCTTTCCTTCCTTACCTCTGCTTCTACCTGCTGCTGAGTTCGGTTATGGTTCTCTTTGTACTGGTTGGCTCTCAGAACTTGCTGCTCGATGCCCAGCAGAACTGCTTCACAGCCATCACACCTACAACGGAGAAAACCAGCCCTGAGCTGCAGAATGGCCTGGGAAGTCTCTTTCAGGCTCCGAAATCTTCCTCCCCAATAGCTCTCCCCAGTATCTTACAGGGACCTCCTTTAATACTCCCTCTGCCACATCTCTTGCCCATTCACACGTGCCCAAAGACAAGCACTTCTAAATACATAATGCAGGACATTAGGAGACGAATATGGTAGTCTGGGGCTGGTTTCTTAGAATACAGCTTTAATTCTCAAGTGTGTATCTCATGGAAGATGGTTGTGTAGCACATACGATTAAAGAAGGTAGGACAGGCCGGGTGTAGTGGCTCCCACCTGTAATCCCAGCACTTTGGGAGGCCAGCGGAGGCGGGGGAGTGGATCACCAGGTCAGGAGTTCAAGACCAGCCTGGCCAACACAGTGAAACCCCATCTCTACTAAAAATACAAAAATCAGCCGGGTGTGGTGGCAGGCGCCTGTAATCCCAGCTACTTGGGAGGCTGAGGCGGCAAAATCGCTTGAATCCGGGAGGCAGAGGTTGCAGTGAGCCAAGACCACACCACTACCACACTCCGGCCTGGGTGACAGAGTGAAACGCCATCTCAAAAAAAAAAAAAAAAAAAAAAAGGTAGAATAGATTTTATAGATGGCACTGAGTAGTCCTTTTCTCAACAGAAAAAAAAGATTTTCTAAAAGCATCCTGTGTTGAAGATTCCTCCTTTTCTCAGAAGTTTAAGTTGCTTCCTAATTGCCATAACCTTCCTATTTCATCTTCTCCACTATTAATTTTTTTCAAACCGAAAAAGTTAAAAGACTACAATGAATATCCCCATTCCCTCCACTTAAGATCCAACAGTGTGAGCATTTTGCCATATATGTGGTACCCCTCAGCCTATCAATTTTGTTTCAATCTACCTCCAGTGCCTAAACATGAGTTGTAAGAGTCTCTACTAGTAAACATCCTGTGGTAACCAGTTAGTCTGGCACCTCCATGTCAAACATTTTGGGGGCTTAAAAACAGGAAACCAGACTATGGACATAAAAAGCTGTGTCAGCCATGTCAAAAACAAAATAAGACAGTCAACTTTCGCAGGTTCAGAAACTAGATTTCGTGTGCCAGACCATTTTCGTGTTGGGGTATTTCTAAGTTTATTTCTTATTTATCCTAAGTTTTGTAACCTATTGAAAACTTCCGCTTGTGTCAGATGTTGTATAGAGGTGTTTGGGGCTACACTTGAGACAGAAATTGGGGTGAGGAGCAACACATGTCCTGGGGTGTAAGAGTAGCTGAAGTGAGGGAAACTCAGGGGGCATCAGGCCCCAACGAGTCAAAGTGGCACTGCTCCTCTCTGGATATGCTTCCTCGGGGATGAGCAGAGATTCTCTCTCTCTCCCAAACCTGTGCATGAAGCTCGCTGGCTCTGCTTCACAGCTCCCAACATGCCATGTGCATGCCTGGGAACAGACTCTCCTCACCTCCAGGTATACTCTAACCCTGGTCCTCCTTCAACACTGAGCTAAAACTTCTCCAATCAGTCCATCTGACTTTATAAGCCCCAAATAATTTAAATCATTCCACAGTAAATCCTCATAGAACGTGTGACAGCTCTTGCAAATATCAAATTCCATTAAAACAGAGAAAACGCAAATGTCCCAATGCTTTTTATATACCAGAATATAGTTATCAAATATTCTTTGTATGAGTTGTATTCCAAGTTAAAATGACCTACTCCTTGTCTTCCATGTCCCTCATGGTGTTTCACAAACATTAGCCCAATATGTTACTGATTTTGAACATAAGTTCTTTTATCCAAAGAATCTTATAAACATGTTAACTTCAACAGGGATAGAAAAAATAATAATAAAAACAAAGAATTTTACAAACACTAGCCTTCCTGAGTTTGGTCAAACCTGAGTGTGAGTTTGGAAAGGGCAGGACTAGCCTCACATAGCTAGGACACACAGACTCCACCTGCTAACCCTGGGCATTTTATAGCCCACTTTTAAATAGCTCCCAGTTGCATTTAAGGCAAGAACTATTTCGCAACCAAGGCACCAGGAGGCCTGAAATGATTCCTGTTGTCGCACAGCTGTGATCACAAATGTAGCCCCACTCTCTGGCTCACTAAGTCCCAGCTCCCAGGTAGCCACAGGCCCACCCCAAACCCTCAGCTGACACCAGGAAATCACATTTTTGCAAGGAGAGGCACAAAAGACATGCTAGATATCTCCCTCCTCCTTTCAGCCTCACCATTCATGCAGGGTCTTGACAATATTATTGATATCCTTCTTTCGGATGTCACGGCCAATGCAGAAATCCACTTCCAGCAGCTGGTTCCGCTGGTCCAGCTTGCCCTGGATGATGTCAGTGTAGACAGCCTCAATGATGAGGTCTTCTAGTTCCCGAAGATTCCGCATTTCCAGGTCTTTCAGCAACACGGAGTAGGGGATACACTGTAGATAAGGCCATGTGATCATTATAAAAACCATCTAGCAAGCATTCGCGAAAATGCAGGTATTATTCACATAGCCAACAGCTGCCTCTAGGCTCGGGAAATGCAGACTAGTGGTAATTATTAATAGCTAGGGCAACAAGAGGTGGATAAATGAACCATGAGACCTAGAAGACCCAACGACATCTAAGAAAGCAACCTCCTGGTTCTCTGCCTCCTTGGCTTCACCCAGCCTTCAGATTTCACATGCTGCAGCATACTTGCAGAGATCCTAAAAACTTGTACCAGTGGAGAGAAAGGGAACTACTGAGTATATGCCACTCTGCCACCTTCTGGAATCTTTCAGACTTTGTCAGATCACCATAAATCTCCAGCAGACCCCAGTCACTGGAAAGAACTGGCTACTTGCCCAGCAGAGTGCAAAAACAAAAAAAAAACTTGCAGGCCAGCACATCTACCTATAGGCGGCCAACAGGTACTGCCAGCTCAGACATCATCCTGAAGTTTGTATCTGTTTTCTCAGACACTTACAACCAATATGAATTCCCCAACAATAGTTCTTTATTGGGCTGTACCAACATTCTGCATGACTCCAAGACTCCAGTTTTCTGCAAATCCTTTGCCACATCACTAGTTTGAACATTAACACAATGATCAAATCTGTAGAAACAAACACGAGGAAGATACATACAGAGAAGAGAGCAAATATACCTAGAAGGGTTTTCTATGGCTATAGGCATAGATATCCATGGGCGGTGGGTGGACTTACAATGACAGGTTGCAGAAATGAGGAAAAGGGTCACTGTTACTTCTTTACTACACTTGAGAAGTCCACAATCAGGACAAGAAAAAAGGTCAGGTCCTCATTTCCCAACAAAATATCCCTCCCACCTGAAATGCTAGGCTGAGAATCAGAAATGTGTCATTAGATCAGATAAAATGATTTCAGCAACTGAAATTGCAATCCAAGAACAAGACAGACCAAGTGCAGTGGCTCACACCTGTAATCCCAACACTTTGGGAGGCTGAGATGGGAGGATGACTTGAAGTCAGGAGTCTGAGGCCAGCCTAGGCAACATGGTGAGACCCGTGTCTCAATTTAAAATTTTTTTTTAAGTTAAAAAGGCCGGGTAGGTGGCTCATGCCTATAATCCCCACACTTTGGGAGGCCAAGGCAGGCAGATCACCTGAGGTCAGGAGTCTGAGACCAGCCTGGCCAATATGGCAAAACCCCGTCTCTACTAAAAATACAAAAATTAGCTGGGCATGGTGGCAGGTGCCTGTAATCCCAGCTACTCGGGAGGCTGAGGCAGAAGAATCGCCTGAACCCAGGAGGCAGAGGTTGCAGTGAGCCAAGATCACGCCACTGCACTCCAGCCTGGGTAATAAGAGCAAAACTCTGTCTTCCCCAAAAAAAAAAAAAAAAAAAAAAAAGAAAGAAAGAAAGAAAGAAAAATATTTATCTCTGAAGCTCAATCATGGAGGGGAAATGCTAAAACTAAGTTTTTTAAAAGGCATAGTCTCACAGAAACTTAGACACTTAGGCTGGGATTAGGCAGAGAGCCAAAATCAACTATAAATTAACTAAATCTGGACCTTCATTATTAATGGCTATGAGCAGCTGGCTGCAAAGCTTCTTCTAAATCAACTGTGGGAGAGGACTCAGAGGTATAGGGGAGTGGTTGGTATCTTATACAAGGTTAGGGTCTAAAGTTAGCATATGAGGCAAAATTCCAATTAGTGCAATAACCCTTGAAAATCCCAGAGAAAAGCAGTATATTAAAAATCTAACTGGGCATGGTGGCTCATGCTTGTAATCTCAGCACTTTGGGAGGCTGAAGTGGGTGGATCACCTGCAGTCAGGAGTTCAAGACCAGCCTGGCCAACGTGATGAAACCCTAACTCTACTAAAAAATATAAAAATTAGCTGGGCATGGTGGCAGGTGCCTGTAATTCCAGCTACTCGGGAGGCTGAGGCAGGAGAACTGCTTGAACTTGGGAGGTGTAGGCTGCAGTAAGCCCAGGTTGTGCCACTGCCCTCCAGCACGGGTAACAGAGCAACACACTGTCTCAAAAAAAAAAAAAAAAATTTAGCTGGGCAGGGTGGCCCATGCCTGTAATCCCAGCTACTTGGGGCTGAGTAGGGGAATTGTTCAAACCTGGGAGGCAGAGGTTGCAGTGAGCTGAGATCACGCCACTGCATTCCAGCCTGGGTGACAGAGTGAGACTCCATCTCAAAAAAAAAAAAAAAAAAAAAAATCTAGTTAGTCCAATATAGCAAGTTCTTCCTCCAGGATGGGCAGTTCACTGTGCACTGAGCAAGAGATAAAGTTATTAACTTGCCTTGAGATGCCTTGCTATTTGAAAAATGTATATCTTTACCAAAAGTCTCCCCTTAATATGGCAAAATGCTCATGCCACATGCAGCACCACAGCATGCCAGGACTGAGACCTGCTGAGTCAATCACTGCTGGGCATACTTTTCCTGTATGGAATGGAGAGTACTTGTCTACACTATTTTATCTTTCCCTCTGTTGAGCAAATTTTACGCATTTATGATGTGACTCTCCTATGTGCAGCTGGGACTTCCCTCATTGATGCCAATGAGACAGCTGACTTGGGATAAGGAGGAAGACAAGCGAGGGCTCAGGACCGTACCTTCATTCTTGATGCCAAGCTCACGATGGTAAGATGCTTCAGCTTGTTCTGCTGAGCTGTGCTCAGTTCTGGCAGGCTCTCCTTGTTGGCTGCTCAGTCCCACCCACCACAAAAATCAAGACACAAAATAAAATTAGGATTTCTTTTATGGAATAAGCTCAACAACTCCCCAAACCAAATCTACTACTGAATCACTATCATGACTTTGCACTTATTCATTTGGCAAATATTTCTGTCTTCTTTGGAAGACTATGTACTTTCAAAGAAGAAAAGACTCAGTTTCTACAAACACAGAGTTTAGTCTCCTAAAAAGCAAACAAGCAAAATGATGTGGCAATTATCTTAATGGAGTACTATTTGTGCCCCTTGTGACATTCAGCCAAGTTAAACGTATCTTCATCGAGCATCTGTTGTGTGCATACTCTGTCCTGAGAAGCAGCAAGGATGAATAAGATGGGCTTTGCCAGTGCTGCTGCATGGCACAGCTCCAGGGCCACCAACCACCTAGAGGTGTGCGACTTCATGGCCCTGGACTTGTCCTCGGTCTTACAACCAGATGTTTCAATAGCTACAAATGCAAAGCAGAACTACCAGAAGAAAGGTACAAGCTACCAGAAGAAAGGAGAGGGAGGAGGTAGGGGTAAAAGAAAGAGATGAAAGGGGAGGGGGAGAGAGAAAGAGAACAGTATCATTTGGGAGATAGAACTCATGGACAAGATGGAGTTTGAGTTGAGCCTCGAGGAAGAGACAAAATTTCAATAGTAACCATAAATGATAATAACACCAAGGGCAGCAGCTGCAGCAGCTAACACAAATAGCAAGCTTTACATCTTATGGATCACATAGATCCACACATACATACACACATCCAGTTCATCTTAACAACCACCCCACAAAATTCCAAGTGTCCTCAATTCCTTAACCATATTCTGGATTCCAACAAACTAAATCCAAACTGATTTTTTTTTCCTTAAGCATGGAGCTGAAATTTACCTGGTGAGAATTTTGGACCTGAACGGAGACAGGCTTTTTATCCCACTTGTTTCCACATTCCTCTGAAAATGTTACATAAAAAGGCATGTGCATATTACCTTTTTAAAGTCCCAAAAATTCTAAATTCTGAAACATGTATCTTCGAGGAATGTAGGTAAGGAATAACGGACTTGTATTGTTACTCCCATTTTACAGACGAGGAAATTGAGCTGCATAAGGTTACTTAATTTGTCAACGAACACACAACTAGTAGAAGTGGAGCCAGACTGGCTACACGCAGTCTGGTAACAGAGTCTGCAATGCTGCCTCTTTAGTAAGCGAGGACAGAAAAACAGAATACACTCCCTGGAACAAAGGGAAGGTCAGAAAAAAATGTGGTGTACCAGGAAGTGGCAAACTGTCCAGTCTGAGAGCCGCACAAAGTAGAAGTGACCAGGGAGAAAGAAGAAGTCAGGGATATCGTAGAGAAGACCCTGAGTATCAGGCTACTGTCATACCATTAAAAAAGGGTAGGAAAGCCAGAAAAAAATGGTTTGGGTAGAAGGTAAGTTAGTGTTTGGACACACAAATACCTCATCCTAATATTTAAGATTCTAATTTAAAATGACTCAAATGCCCTACAACAGAAAATGGGCTAAGTAGATTATGAAATATTAGGTTGTGAAATATTAAAAATATTACAAAGACTTAAAATACGGATAAATGTCTATAAGTGGGAAACAAGCAAGACATAAAACTATATACATAGTTATACCTATGTAATACAAAACACAAACTTAAGGGGCACAAAAAAGTCCAGCATCCAAATGTCTGATGGAAATACAACTATGAGTGACATTTATTTATTTGTTTGTTTGACAGAGTCTTGCTCTGTTGCCCAGGCTGGAGTACAGCGGTGCGATCTCAGCTTACCACAATCTCTGTCTCTCAGGTTCAAGTAATTCTGCCGCCTCAGCCTCCAGAGTGGCTGGGATTACAGGTGCCCACCACCACACCCAGCTAATTTTTGTATTTTTAGTAGAGACAGGGTTTCACCATGTTGGCCAGGCTGGTGTCAAACTCCTCACCTCAAGTGATCTGCCTGCCTCGGCCTCCCAAAGCGCTGGGACTACAGGCCTGAGCCACTGCGGCCAGCCTATGAGTGACTTTTTAAAAATCTATTTTCCAAATTTTCTTCAATATGCTGGTATTATTTTGATAATATTTAAAATGTTGAAATATTCTACAGGTGGGTATTCTGACACTTCATGGCACTCCAAGAGCCCTACAAACACCAGTCCTCAAGAATCTCGTCTGGAAAATAAACAAGGGCTACATTTGTGGATGAGCACACACAGTCCCCATTTTACCCACTAGAATATAAAAAATGAGAAGGAAAATTCCCTTTGTGAGGTCACCTACCAGGCACAGCAAAATGGGAGCCAGCCAGGTCAAGAAGTCTCCCCACTACCCCATGCTTTATATCTCAAACCTTGATGGTCTTCCAAACTGAGCAACATAATTAAGACAAGTCTTTTGAAGGATCTTCACCAACTCACCTATGTAATCTGGGTATGTCCCATAGGCAAACAGGTTCAACAACTGCAAATAAGCAGCATTAGCTCCTTCCGCAAGCTGAGGAGGGAAAAAAAAGTTCACCACAGACCGAACTGTCTACCAATCACTGTAGTGTTCAAACAGAGGACGGATGAGCATGTGTCAAAGATGCCATGGCTGTTTATTCTGTACTATTTGATTACTTGGCCCCTGGGGTCTCTCTTCCAACTCTGATTCTTTGGGAAAAAATAAACAAGATTATTAAAGCCCCAAATTTAATATCTCTCCCTCAGGAATGTTTTACTTTCTACACAGCATGCCCAAGGAACTGCTTTTCTCTCTCACACACATACAAAGCATTAAGCACTGGAAGGAGTTCAAATCTTCTCAAGATTCTGTTTGCATTAAAACAAAGACGGCAGCAGCCATATCTACATACTAGCTTGGTAGGTATGGCATGAGGCACCACCAACCCAAAGTGAACAAAGCTCAGGGTTGCTTCCAAGTTTCAGGACTACATGCGGACTATGAACCCTGGGAGAGACCAGCACATCACAGGGCATGACAGAAAGCCAGGCTGGGACAGAAAACCAGTGTATCAGTCTGCTCCAAATCAAAATGTTCATTAAAATTACTTACTCTTCACTGATGCTGATGGCAAAAAGCCATGTGTAGAAGAAAAACGAAAGAGCCACTGTTCTGCCTGTAACTTCTCTGCTGTCAATTACGTTAACTGGCGAGTTTTTTGTTTTTTTTTTTTAAATCACAAATGTGCTCCTGTTACCCTTCCAACTTACCAAGCCCAGTAAACTCTAAACAGGAATAGCGGTACTACTCAATTTTAGCCTTTAAAAAAATAAAGCTTCCAAGAAATGCATCTACAATTTCAGATCACTGAAAGGCAACCAGCTTATTCTCAGCTCACATAAGGAAAAACGCAAGGTATGGAGAGATAAAGGCGGTCTGCCAAGCACCCTATGGAGAACTCCAGCATCCTAATACCTCAGGCTACTTTCTCAGGTTACCACAAACCTCCTGAAGTCCCTGAATCAGAAGGGGAAGAAACCTGGTAAACACCATCCAATCTAGCCCCCACTTTTCAGACACATAATTAACAAAACTAGCCGGAAAAGAGTATTTTCTCCAGAGCAGATACTCCAACACTTCTCCCCCTGGCCTAAATCAACAAAGCCTTTCTGGCTTTACTTTCCAACCATCTCCTCTTAGCCAATCTTCCACAGTTACAAAACAACTACTTGGCATATTCATGTAGGCTTTTCATGAACCTGAAGGAACATATTACCCTTTGGTCATCTCTTGTGTTGAAAAACGAACCCAGTTCTCTCAAATTTTCTTCATAAAACTCATTTTCCACTTCTGGCAAATTAAATTTTTATTGAAAACCTACTGTGTGTCAGGCTATGTATTCAGCTCTAAAGAAACAATGTTGAGCACTACAGACCTCCTCACAGAGATTACAGTTTGGCAAGCAAGCCTGACATTAAATAAAAATTTACAATGAAAAAGTAAAAGTGGCTCTTCTCATCTCTGACCATCACAGGTAGAGGAGTCATAAGTGGGCACCTGAAATGGCTGCGCTGTGGGGAACTGCTGTAGTTTCCCCATCAAGAGGAACAGGCGGACACACAGCTCCGAATCCAACAACCTGAAGGCCGGCAACTTCTTTTGTTAAAACTGACTGTGGATGTGGAGCCAACAGCAAAGGTGTTGTGGTGGTCATGAAGGTGATAAACTGCCTAACAAAAGCAAACCACCTCCTATATGCAAATCGCCACCACCAAGAACTGCAGGGCCACTCTCAACAGCATCCGGCACATGCTCCACAAGAGGTACCACCACCCAGATCCGAGCGTGGCAGCCTTCCACAGAGCCAGCACCAGCCTGCAAAGCCAGAAGCCTGTGAGGATGAAGAGGAAGGGGACCTGCCCCACCGATCCACCAAAAGCTCCTGAGTATGATCCTCCACCCCACAAAGCAATAAAGATGCTCAGACTTTTCTCAAGTAAGTGAATATAAACAAATAAAAATGTTCAAAGTGGGAAGTAGAGGTGGAGAAGTATAGATTGCTTTACATCTCTTTGTTCCTTCTGTACAATGGATCTTCTCATTTTTGAGGCACAATGACCAAAACTGGATACCCAAGGTTTTAATAACAAGCAAGCAAACACGTAAAATGAACTATGTCCTAGCTTTTCATGTCATATCTAATACATTTAGCATAGCACTGTCCTTTTCCACAACAAAAATACACTCCTATTCATGTCCATTTTATGTTCAATAGCAGTAAATTTCTGCTGTGTGTCCCTGACCAATCCTCCTTATCAATAATGCACTGGAGGTTTCTGGTCCCTAAGAATGCCTGAATCTACCCCTATTAAACATCAGCCCATGCTTATAGCACTTTTCTAATTTATCAGGATCAACTTGACTTTTTTACTATCTTTTAGATTATTATTAGCAACAATCTAATTTTACCCAAGTTGAGATAAAAATACTGGATAAAAGGAGCCAAGGATATCCTCTCAATCTCTCCCTCTGCCCCACCAATTCCCATCCCTCTCTCAATAGGGTACCTCACGGGTTCACAATACTTCAGCACTGATATTCTTTGGAAACCTGGAGAATTACAGAGAGTCTCAGAACAAAAACAGAGAAATTGTTTGAAAACCGTTCTTACCTCCTGCACGTTGGCCAGCTCCAGAAGTTCTCCAAAGACATACACTCCAGGAGCCTCTAAGACCTGGCTTATGAGAGCAGTGAGGGCTGAGCCACTGGTACCTTTGGCTAGTAAAATAAACTGCTCCAGGAGGTTACTTGAGGGTTTCTGTTCCCCTGCCATTCTCTGGCCTTGAAATCTGTCCAAAAGAAAACTGTGTCATTCTTCGTTCTCCTTTGCAAAGTCTATGCCTATTTAGTGCTGAATCAAACACCAGAATACTTTAATTTTATAGTGTTGATAAAGAAAAACCAGGCCAGGTGCAATGGCTCATGCCTGTAATTCCAGCACTTTGGGCGGCTGAGGCAGGTGGATCACCTGAGGTGAGGAGTTCGAGGCCAACATGGCGAAACCCCATCTCTACTAAAAATACAAAAATTAGCCAGGCTGGTGGCAGATGCCTGTAGTCCCAGTTACCCGGAAGGCTGCGGCACAAGAATTGCTTGAACCCAGGAGGTGGAGGTTGCAGTGAGCCAAGATCGCGCCACTGCACTCCAGACTGGGCAATAGAGCGAGACTGTCTTTTAAAAAAAAAAAAAAACAATTCCTGAGTCCAGATGCAATTACCACTTTGGGAGATGGGTGGAGTTCAACCTGGAGTTAAATGGATCTTTTACTAAATTCTGGTGTTTGAAACACACTCTGTAAAAGTTATTTCACTTCCACCTGCCCCTCCTCCAGAGGCAACACCTTCTAAGTCCTTAAACCTGACCAGGAGCTAAAGAAAAACACAGGAGTTTCTCAGCAGCTGTTTTATATCCACCTCGTTTACACATTCTGGTTAAGAAATAAAGGATACTGCCTATACCCAGAGGCACCAGATGTAAGCAAAAGCAATCAGTTACAGCTCCAACTGCGTCATCAGAATCCCATCTACAGCCAGAGAGACAAGGAAAACAAAAAACCAAACAAGAAAGATGTCTCATGTAATCAAGTCAGGTAAGCACAGGTAGAGAGAGACATCATTTTGAAAGAAAAACAGCGACATACTCAAACTAAGAACATGCATGTTGTGTAAGACCATGGGGAAAAATCCCTGTATTCAGCCTCCTCCTGATACATTTTAACCAAACGTGACTTCAGAATGTGTAAAAAAAAAAACTCAAGAAAACAATAAAAAGATTTGGGAAAACAGTGAAAATACTGTATGAGCGCTCCGAAGACATTAAGTACAGGAGGGTCCCTCAACTGTGTAATCTAATTATAAGCTGAGTGTACAGGAGTTCCAGGTAAGATTTCTCCTCTAAGAATGATACATATTACAGCAGCGTGACAAAATGAACGAAAGACGGTATAGTAGAGTGGAGCAAAGAACAATTCGAAGAACAGTTTGGTGAAAGAGAAACTAAGTTTTGTGTTGGCAGGCACACATAATAGTTACCCTTTCACAGTATTACAGAAACAAGTATGTCGCCTCACTCAGGGTTACCTAAGAAGGTCTGGTCAGACACAGAAAAAAAAAGTGACGTGCTGGGGAACAACGGGTTTTGAGGAGGGAAGGGAAAGGGAAAAGAGAAGAGGAGAGGATATGAGGCAGAAGGGAAGGAATAGGGAAGAAAGGAGGGTCGGTGATGGTCAAGAGAGGAGGAGCGAAAAGATCCTTCCAAGAGGACCCGTGTGAAGAGATAGGGATCTCTGCCAAGAGACTGAAAGTTAGGAGGTGGGGGTGGAGAGCGGGTAGGGAAATGGAGAGAAACTTGTCCCTTCAAAAGATCTCGGCTTAAGGAGCAAAGCCTGTGGGCGCAGAGAATGTAAAGAGATGGAGACAGTCGCTTTCTTCTGGAGTGGGAGGGCCAGAGGCTAGGCACAGAGCGGAGAGATAAATTCCCGTCAGGGGAGGGCGCTATTTGGATGGAACGGAGTGGGGCAAACGGGCAGCCTTTGGAGATGGGAAAGCGAAGACAGCCACAGCACTGATGCTGAGGGTCACAAGCTGCAGCAGACCTCACCGCGGGCGGTATGCTCTAAGCAGGGCCGCAGGCGTGGAGTGAGGAGCCGCGGGGCGCGCTCCCCAAGGCGGGGGCGGGGCGGGCACGGCCACGGGCTTCCTTGGCGGCGGGCACTAAGCCGGATCGTCGGGCCGAGCCTGGAGCGCCGGCCCCGCTCGGCCCACCCTCTCGCTAGCTCCTACCTGTCCGAGCCACCTCTCGGTTCTCTTAGTCGCTGGCTCGGCCTGCCGGCGCCTGCCCGCAGGTTGTCAAGCGTCCATGATCACCCCGGCGTCCGGCGCTTTTCTGCCTCCGCCGACCCGTCGCCCGTGCAGCTCCCCCGGAAGCCTCCCACCGCTGCACTCGCGTTCCGCCCACACAAGGTTCCACCCGCCGCGTTTACTCCCTTAGACCTCCGGTGGGGAAGTGAGGGTGAGGGGGCGGAGAAGAGGCTGCAGCCCGGGAACCAGGCGGGGACGGGGTGGCTAGGCGCCCGAGGAGACGAATGCGGCCTAGTCGGTACTGCAGCCCAACCGTCGCCATCGCCCTCCCGGGCCCCAAATCCTCCCCTTAGGCTGCATTTTGTCTCTCAGGAGCTCCCCATGGTTACTGCGCTACCCCTGGGCACGGAGATACATTAAGTCTACTCACTACCACTTATTGAGTGTTTTTCCATGTGCCAGGTGCAGTACATGCATTATCTCGTTGAATTCTCATAACTATGGCTTGTATTATTGTTCCCATTTTTCAGGTGAATTAACTACGTCCTAAAGTCAGAAAGTGACAAAGCTTGCTTTGGAACCCAGGCTATTTGAGGCCGAAGACTATGTTCTTTACCTCTATTCAGAAAATGTTTTAAAATAAGCAAGAGATGGGTTAAGCCAACAAGGTTCTGTGACCAAAATGTCATTGATAGCGTTGCATCTGGTGCTTACCAACTCCCCGGGGAAGATGGCTAAGAAATGCCACATCATTGAACACTTAAACTGATTCCTGTATACACCACAGTCTTTCAGGTCTTGAAAATGAGAGAGAAAAACAGCCCTATTTGCCTGTCGTGCATTAGAATGCAGAAATTAGGACAAAAGCAAAGGAGCCTAGCACCAACTAATTCATTCATTTATTCAAAAACATTTCTTTAGCACCTATTATGTCCTGGAAAGTTATATGAAGATAAAACAAAGTTCTTCCCCTCAAAAGCTCCAATGTGTTAAATGCTATGAGGAAGATATGACAACACTTTGGAAGCACAGAAGACAAGAGGTTGGGGAAGAAAAAACAGGCAAAAAAGGGAGTAGTGCCCATTGTCACAGAGGTTTGCACTGTGCAGCATATACTGATGTCAAAAAGAAACCCAGAGTGGTTTGACCCCAGGGTTTTCAAGAGTGAGAAATGAGGGGTACAGAGCTGGAGTCAGATCATCAAGGGTCTTGGAATCCCCATGCCAGGTACTGGGGAACTACTTACGCTTTTTAAGCTAAGAAGAGGTATGAATAATTAATTGCCTTTTTAGAGTGATTGTGCTAGGTGCTTTAGGAATGGATTGGATGTGGAGAGAATTGGAGGCAGGGAAAACCTCCAGTGAGGGGACCGATTTATTCTAGATAAGACATTGTGAGATCTCGAACAAACGTAGTGGCAATTGCTGGGCGCGGTGGCTCACGCCTGTAATCCCAGCACTTTGGGAGGCCAAAGCGGGCTGATCACCTGAGGTCAGGAGTTCGAGACCAGTCTGGCCAACATGGCGAAACTCCGTCTCTACTAAAAATACAAAAATTAGCCGGGCATGGTGATGCAATACTAATCTCAGCTACTCTGGAGGCTGAGGCATGAGAATTGCTTGAACCCAGGAGGCAGAAGTTGCAGTGAGCCGAAATTGTGCCACTGCACTCCAGCCTGGGTGACAGATTGAGACTCCATCTCAAAAAGACAAACAAAAACAAAGGGAGTACCAATTGGGGTTGAAAAAGAAGGGACACTGTTGGAGACATTTAGACTGTAGAATTTATAAGACTTGGTGACCAGCTGAATATAAGGAGAGGGAGGGAGCATAACACCCAGGATTCTGTCCTGGGAGACCAGAGCTGTCTGGAACTAGTGTTAAGTGAACAGGGCTATGGACAAGGAAGGACAAATATGGGATTGAGAGGAAGACAACAGAGTTTAGTTTGACTTCATAGAAATTCCAGCAATGCCTCTACTTCCTCCAGAATAATGTCCAGACTCCATGGCTGCAATTTGGACTTAGTATTTTGGGTTTTTTCCCTTAAGAGACGGAGTCTTACTCTGTCACCCAGGCTGGAGTGCAGTGGCACTATCATAGCTCACCTCAGCCTTGAACTTCTGGGCTCAAGGGATCCTACCACCTCCAACTCCCAAGTAGCTAGGACTACAGGTGCGGGCCACCACACCTGGCAAATTTATTCTTTTTTTTTTTTAGAGATGGGGTCTCTCTATGTTGCTGAAGCTGCTCTTCCCTGATCTCAAGTGATCCTCCCACCTTGGCTCCCAGAATGCTGGGATTACAGGTGTGAGCCACCACACCCAGCCCATGGCTGCAGTGAAAGCCCTTCAAAGTGTGCCTCCCTCCTAAGTCCTCTTTGTCGCACCCCACCCCCTTCACAGTGCAAACTCCCATGCCCGGCACAACTTATACCATCCCTCTCAGACACCAGGCCTATGCTCGAGCTTGCTCTTTTTTGGAATGCTCTTTTATTAGCCTGTAAAAAACCTACCAACTCTAAAAGCAAGGATTTCTGAAATCCAATGCAAAAAACACTAACCATAATAGAAAACATGGAACTATTGCACTATGTTAAAATTAAGAATTTCTGCTTGGCAGATGCAGTGGAGTACACCTATAGTCTTACTATAGCTACTTGGGAGGCAGAGACAGGAGGATCACTTGATCCCGGGAGTTGAGGTTGTAGTGGGCAGTGCTGGTGCCTGTGAATAGCCATTGCATTCCAGCCTGGGCAACGTAGCAGAGACCCCATCCCTCAAAAATATAATTTGTTTCAAAAGTCACCAGTAAGAGAGTGAAAAGACAAGCCATGCCTTGGAAAAGATATCTGCAAAGCATGTATCAAGGAACTCTATATCCAGACTGTAAAGAACTACAAATCAATAAGAAGACAGCCCAATTAAAGTTGGGAAAAGAATAGGCACTTCAGGAAAGACAACGTTCAACTAGCCAACAAGCATATTGAAAGGTGTTCAACATAAGGAAAAATGTAAATAAATACCTTAATGAGATACCACATTCAGCCAGAATGGCTACAATTAAGAAGAATGACAACAAAAATCCTGTGTTGACAAGGATAAGAGGCACCTAGAACTCTTTCATATTGCTGGCAAAGGCGTAAATTGGTACAATCATTTTGAAAAATTGGCAGTGTCTACTATCACTGATCATGTGCATAATCTCCCTACACACCGGCAATTCCTCTCCTAGAAATGGGTGCAAGTGTCTACAAAAAGAAACATGTAAGAATGCTCACTACAGCTTTGCTAGTAGTAGTCAAAAAAATAGCAACGCAAATGCCCACCAACAGTGCAAAGGTAAATTGTGGTATATACATACAACAGAATACTATTCAGCAGTTAAAAAGCTACACACAACATGGATGAATTTCACAAAAATATTGATAAAGTAAAAAAGCCAGACACATACTGTACATACTGTATTATTACATTTAACTGGAATTCAAGAACAGACAAAACTGCCCTATGGTGATACAGTCAGAAGAGTGATTATCTCAATATGTAAGGAGGTAATACTGATTGGGAAGGAGCACTAGACGTGCTAGAAATGTTCCATATCTTGATTTGGGTAGTGGGGACAAGGGTGTATACCTATGAAAAAATTGTTCCCATACTGTATGTCACATCTCATTAAAAAAAAAAAACTTTTTTAACATGGAAAAAAACTTCAAGTCCAAATGCCACCTTCTCCATTAAAGTTTTGCCAGCTGCAATTAACCTTTTCATCAGGGCCTCCTTAGCATTCTGATGTCGTTTCTTTATGCCATTTTATCACACTCCATCTTGAATCTCAGTGGAGTCTCCTTATTTCCCTAAATAGATGTTTATCTTCCTGGTGGCAGTGACCATGTCCTTCACCTTTTACCCACTCAGTGCCTGACAAATAACAGGCTGAAAAGATATTTATTGAATTACATGGAAGAAAAAATTGGGTGAGTTCCCAGATGGGTGAAAGAGGGGACAGGCAGAGGAAGGAAGGCCAAGAGAAGGACAGAGGAGGTTTCCAAGGAAACCGTGGCTCACACTGCAATTTTACCTACTTCCTGAAATCACATTAAATGTCACCTTGAGTGGCAAAAAACAAAACACCAAGTCCTACCTAGGCTGAAAATAAATATCACACTCCCTCACTTGAAAGAAATCCACCAAATAAATGCTACCTAATTCTGGGTGTTTCAACACTGGATAGGAAAACTGTTCAAGGAGAATAATTCACATTGCCATGCTGCTAAAAATATCACCTCCTTAGTGTGGTGCAAAGAGTCCAGACTGCAAGTCAGCCGACTTAGGGCTGAATTCTAACTCTGCCCGAACTTGCTGTGATCTGTGGCCAATCCCTTCGCCTCTCTGGGCCTCAATTTCCTCATACGTAACAACGGGGTAGATTAGCAAAGTCCCTTTATGTTTTGATATTCTGAGTATACAATCCATAGCTCTCCCGGTCCAAAGCAGGAATACAGCAAAAACCCCTGAAAAACACGTAAAAGGCGCCTCAGACCAACAAACACGATTTGAAGAAGTCATTTTGTTATCTTTCACGGTTTAATCAGTGTTTTTGTTTGTTGTTAGCAGCCTTACCATGATTTGCAGAAGATGTCTGAGTTCCATGTAAACAGAAGTTAACTCTCTGCGGGCTGTCATCTTCTTTTGACGGTGAGAAGGGTCTTCCCGCTGGGTTTCAAGTCTCGGGATTCCGAAACCACCAACTCAGCGGGCGGGTTTGTGAATTTGCGCACACTGCGCGGCACACTGGAGTCTAAGTTACAGAGGAACCGAGTGCAGAGGATGCTGGGATTTGTAGTCTCCGGATCTCTTTGTGGTGCGCTGGGATCTGTAGTCCCCCGAGTGCGCCGCTGGAATGCTGGGAAATGTAATCTCTGTCGCGTAGCACAGTGCAACCAGCTGCCGTCTCGAATAGCTAGTGTGCTCAGCTGCGGGAGCAGGTCCCTAAAGCCTCTGCAGATCCGAAGCCAACACTCCGCTGGGACAAACTCTAGGCAATAACACCAGATGAATAGTGTGTCCTATGGGACTTCCCGGGGAGGGCCCTTCCCATTGACGTTAATAGTCCCCCTGCGAAGCCGCAGCGCGCTCCTACTGGCTGGTTGGGATGCCAATCGCCAAAGCTGGCTTTCCATTGGTTCCAGGAGGGCACTGCGAGGCTAGGGGGAAGGAGAAGGGATCAGGAGCGGGAGCTGAGGGGAGAGAGAGGCCGGTCCTGGTCTGGCCGCTGCGGCTGCTCGCCCGAGGTCTCCAAGCCGGGCTGCAGCTCCATCCTCGGCTCCTGGGCACTGTCTGCGAGGCTCCGCCGACCAGAGTGAGAAAACCGCGGGCGGCGAGCGCCGCATCATGTCAGCCAAGGACGAGCGGGCCAGGGAGATCCTGAGGGGCTTCAAACTGTATCCGCCCGGGAGCGGGGCGGGGCCGGGAGGACTGGGGAGGCGGCCGCTCACTGAGGAGACTGGCCGGGGGCGGGGGCCGCGCCAGGTGGGCCCCACGGAAGAAGGGCCGCGGGAGGGGAGAGGAAAGGAAAAGCGTGCCGAGCACCCGGCGGGACCAGGCGCGAGAAGCGCCCCCAGGGGCGTCCTGAGGGAGGAAGGGGACGTTGACGGGAGCCCCAGGGGGTGGCGGGTGGGGACGGAAGAGCCTGGGGTACTGGGCTGCGAGAGGTGCCGGGCGTCGCAAACGCTGTCGGAGAGACCGGCTGGGTTCCAATCCCCGGCCGGGATCCAGAGGCCGGGAGGGGGCTGCGGCCGCAGGGAAGGGCTGAGGGGGCGCGGTGGGCTGATCTTGAAGTCTAGAAGCCTCTTTGGCTATAAGCCTACCCGAGGAGCGGGGAACAGTGACTTGGAGCGGGCGACCTTGTGTGGGACAAATACCAGTGCTTTTAAAACTCTCTCAGGGCCCCCACCGCACCGCACCTCACCCCCGTCTGGTTTCCACAACTTCTCTTCCAAACTTGTGGCTTCTTCCAGGGCTAGAGTAGTTGGGGGAGGTGGGGAAAGAGAAGTCCAAGATCAACCTCGTCTTAACACTCTTGGTCTTCTGAGGCATTGGTCACTGCTTCCCCCTCAGCGCCTCAGTTTCCTTTCCAGCAACACGAGGACCGTAGGCTTAGGTGTGGGATGCCTCGCGCTGGGGCTCCTAGCCGAGGTGTCTTTGCTCGCTCCTGTTGGTGCGGTTAATGCCTAGCTGTGGTGGAGCTGTCCAGCAATAGTGTGATGTCGCTGGGGCCACGGTAGGATAGAGTGGGGTAGAGAAATCATTGCCTCGGGCCTGTTGTGATGCCGCTCTTGCAACCTCTCCTCAATGTGGTAAGGAAGCTTTGTGTTTTCGTGGAGTGTGTTAGTATGTCACCATATGATGCAGATGAAAAAATGCAAACTTGTATATTCACATTTTCCATTCTCTTGCCGACTTTAATCTCTTCATACATCCTGTCTGTAATCTATAGTACGGAACGTTCTTAAATTGCTCCCTCAGTGAAAAGGTAGTCACCGCTTTGGGACTCCTCCCTTGGAGGTTTAGTAAAGCACTGTTTTCTTGATATTCTGTTGTGTTTTCACAATGTGCGTGTCACCCTTGCAAAATTTAATTGCTTTGCTATAATCAGAAACCAAGTTGGTAATACATTTTAGACCACAGTGCAAAAAGGAAGTTTTGGATGTACAAGTGAGATTTTTCAAGTGAAAATTGATCTATGCTTTTAAAAAAACCTAAAGGCTGTATCACCTTTGCATACTACCATTCATGATAAACTTTCAGTACTTTTATGTTGTGGTTTAGTAGCAGCCTCTTTATAGCTCCATGTGCCTTTCTGTGTTTCTCTCCATAATGGATCATATAGGTATACAGGGATGACTGAAGTGCTGGAAAAGCTATGACATGAATTTTATTTTTCCCTCAAGTAATTTGTATTATTACTTAACATATAACAATGTAATAATGTTGTTACTTAACATGCTGTGTAAGCAGTAAACCAGAAACTATGGAGAACTGAGAGATTTCAGAAGCAACGTTTTCATCTGATTGGAAATACCATATTGCTGAAAAGAAGAAATACCTTTTTAATGGCTTTTGAACAAAGCAGAAAAGTTTGAGCTTCTCACCTTCAGTCTTGGCTCTTGAACCTGTTAAGAAAGAGGATAAGAGACAAATACGGAAAAGAGTTTCAGAAAGCAGAATCTGTGTCAGCCCACTAGAAGGAAAAGCGAATCAACCGATTCAGTGATGTTAGTGCATCCAGAAACAGGCTTTCTGGGAAAGCTTGACCTGAGCTGATTAAATCCTGAAGCACCAGGGAAGCAGCCACATCAAAAAGTTAGCATGAGAGCAGTGGCGTGCTCATCCTCTGGTAGCCTTTATTGGGCATTTGTGGAGTAAGAGGGAAAAGAAAAGCAGGAATGTTAGGATATGCTACTACCTTCAGGAAAAAGTAAAATTAATGTTTTAGTGAGAAACTGACTATTGTCCACCTTTTATTGGGTAAATAGATTTTCTGAACTTTCTTTCAGAGTATCTGTTTCTGTAAGAATAGTTTATCACTACAAAAAGAGCACCATTGTGTTCTGCCACCAACAGTGTTGATAGTACTCAGTTTTCCACGTTGACTAGGTCAGTCTTTTTTGTTTACCAGTTTAGATAACAAATGATATATTGTTTTAATTGGTATTCTCCTGGGATCCCTACATCCATGAAAAGGTAATGTAGCATAGTGGTTAAGAGCTATACTGGACTATGTCACTATACTGCCTGCATTGGAATTCCAGCCCTGCACTCCTAGTTGTGTGTCCCTGAGCAACTGCTTTAACCTCGCCTCAATTTTCTTATCTGTAAAATGCAGAAAATAATAGTGTACTACCTATCGCATGGGGCTTTGAGAGTAAATGAGTTGATATCTAAAGCATTTAGAAAAGCACCTGATCTACAGTAAGCATTATGCTTTAGCTAGTGTTATTCTTGTTGTTATTAGATAAGTTGCACATCTCCTCTATTTGGCCATTTCTTTTTCTTCTGTAAATTGTTAATTTTGTTTTTGCCCATTTTACTATTAAATTGTTTATTTTTCTTATTTGTAGATGTTCTTTACATATTGTAATATCAATCCTCTGCCTATTATATATTTTGCAAATATTTTCTTTCAATGTATTGTCTCCTTTTTTGTTGAACAGAATTCTAAAATTGTCATTTCAAATTTATTTTATTTGTTTGAGATGAAGTCTTGGTCTGTTGCCCACATTGGAGTGCAGTGGCACAATCTTGGCTCACTGCAACCTCTGCTTCCCAGGTTCAAGCAATTCTCCTGCCTCAGCCTCCTGAGTAGCTGGGATTACAGGCACATGCCACCATGCCCGGCTAATTTTTGTATTTTTAGTAGAGACGGGTTTCACCATGTTGGCAAAGCTGTCCTCAAACTCCTGACCTCGTGATCCGCCTCACCCCTGCTTCCCAAAGTGCTGGGACTACAGGCGTGAGCCACTGTGCCTGGCCTCAAGTTTATTAATATTTGCTGTCTGGCTTTTGCATTTTGTATCTTGTTTAAAAAGATCTTTCTTATCCCAAGATTAACTAAATATCCTATCTTTTCTTCTCTTTTTAATGTTTAGCTCTTTAATCCACCTGGAACATATTTTTACATTTGGTATATGGTAGATGTCTAAGTACTTCTGCTGTTTGAATAGCCAGTAGTTCCAGTACTAAGTAGTAAGTCCATCTTTTCCTCACTGTTTTGAAATGCCATCCTTGTCATATACTAAATTTTCATAAGACGTAGGTTTATTTTTTGATTATTTCTGTTTCATTGATCTATTTGTCTCTTCTTGTGCCTATACACATTTGGTTGAATTATTATAGCTTTATGATGTGATTTAGTATAGTTTACAATAGGATTGGTCTGTGACTAACATAATATGTGTGTTTAAGGTCCCTATAAATATTTGTGCCCCTTTTATTCACATAGAAGCTTGCCATATGCCCATAGTAGATAGAAACATGAGGACTTGACTGGGCATGGTGTTCACACCTGTAATCCCAGCACTTTGGGAGGCCTAGGTGGGAGGATGGCTCAAGGCTAGGAGTTCAAGACCAACCTGGCCAACATAGTGAGACCCCCCAACTCTAAAAAAAAAAAAATTTAAAGATACTCCGTGAGAGTGATGCATAAATCAGGCATGGTCTAAGTGAATTCAGTATAAGCCTTTGTATTTGCCATCAGTTGTTTCAAAAACAAAATCTTACAAGATTTTATTCTCATATCACCTTCACCCCATCTCACCCTACCTCTTTCAGAGTATCTGTTTTTGTGAGAAGAGTTTATTACTACAAAAGGAGCACCATTATGATCTCCCACCAACAGTGTTGATAGTACTCAGTTTTCCACGTTGACTAGGTCGATCTTTTTTATTTTTGCCAGTTTGGACAACACATGATACCTTGTTTGAATTTGTATTTTCCTGGACCCCTAGATCCATAAAAGGTAATATAGCATAGTGGTTTGAGACCTATACTGGACTGTGGCGCTATACTACCTCTCAAGAAATGCAAGGCTCTCATACACATTAAGAACCTTGCATTTCTTTCTTGTTTGTTAAAAGCATAACATTTCCTAATTGTAAATTAATGTTATGAATGAAATGTTACTTGGGGAACAATATGATTCTCCTGCAAATATTTTGGATTTGATTTTAAGCAGCTGACATAGAGATTGATGTTTGTAAATCCCACGTTTCCCGTTTCTTTTCTTCAACAAAGGTCTGTTGGGTGACTGTTATGTATAGGGCACTCTACACTTGAAGGATACAAAAATGAATGACTTACAGTCCCTTCTTTCCAGAAGCTTAACCAGCTTTATGTCTGTGTAGAAGGAATATCTTCAAAAGCAATGCATTTTTTAAAATTCTATTTAATTTTCCTATTACAAACTCCAGCTACCTAGAGTCACTTTTGTAAGTATTATTTAGTATAGCCTTCTAATGTAGCTAATTTTTAATGTGTTTTTTATAAAAATGGAATAGTAAATATCACTTTGTAACTTACTTTGTTCACTTAATAATAGATTTACCATGTTTATGATTTCCAAAGATAATTACTTTGTTATTTTCACTGACAGATTTATCACAGTACTCTTTTTTTTTTTTTTGAGATGGAGTCTCACTGTTGTTGCCCAGGCTGGAGTGCAATGATGCGATGTCAACTCACTGTAACTTCTGCCTTCCGGGTTCAAGTGATTCTCCTGCCTCAGCCTCTCAAGTAGCAGGGATTACAGGCACCCACCACCACGCCCGGCTAATTTTTGTATTTTTAGTAGAGACGGGGTTTCTCCATGTTGGCCAGACTAGTCTCAAACTCCTGACCTCAGGCCTCCCAAAGTGCTGGGATTACAGGCGTGAGCCACTGCGCCCAGCATTTGTCACAGTACTCTTATACTAGCTTTCTAGTATGGTCTGTATCCACTGTTTTGCCTATTTGAATAGCTTTTTCATCAACATAAAAATATTACTTTATTAAATTAACAAGAAACTGACAGAATTCCATGAGAAGGAATTATGCTTTTGTGATTTCATTATCTTTAATCCATCTGGAATTTTCTTTGGTATAAGATATAGAGTAGTAATGTAGCTTTTTTTAAATATTAGCTTATTGTCTCCATTTATTTATTTAATTCATTTATTTATACTTCAGATATTATAATATCCAGAATATAAATGGCTGCCTACAAATCAATACGATAAGCATTTAAGTCAAAATGGACAAAGGATATGAACAAGCAGTTCCTAGAAGAAAAAAGCAGATGACCAATGAATAAATGAGGAAATGCTCAACCTTGTTAAAATAATAGACTATCTGCCAGGTGCAGTGGCTCATGCCTGTAATCCCAGCACTTTGGGAGGCCGAGGTGGGCGGATAGCTTGAGCCTAGAAGTTTGAGACCAGCCTGGGCAACATGGCAAGACCCTGCCTCTACAAAAAAAAAAAAAAAAAAAAAAAAAAAAAAAACAACGCACACAAAAATTAGCCAGGTGTGGTGGCACATACTTGTGGTCCCAGCTACTGGGAGGCTGAGGTGAGGGGATCACCTGAGCCTGGGAGGTGGAGGTCGCAGTGAGCCAAGATTGTGCCCCACTGCATTCCAACCAGGGTAACAGAGTGAGACCTTGTCTAAAATAATAATAATAATAGACTATCTCTTTATTCCCAATTAATTGACACAAATTTAAAAGATTGATTATATATATCCTGAGAGTGGCACTGTATGAAAATAAAATTAAAAAAAAAAAAATAGGCCAGGCACAGTGGTTCATGCCTGTAATCCCAAT